GAGAAGAAGAAGAAGAAGAAGAAGGGAAGAAGAAGAAGGGAAGGAAGGGGAGAAGAAGAAGAAGAAGCGAAGGAGGAGGAGGAGGAGAAGAAGAAGAAGAAGAAGAAGAAGAAGAAGGAGCCGAAGAAGTTGTTGAAGCAGCAAAGGGGGAGAAGAAGAAGAAGATGGCTGGTGGAGGACGGCGGGAAGGGGGCCTCGAAACGGGGGCAAAGAAGAAGAAGAAGAAGAAGAAGCAGCAGCGAAGAAGAAGAAGAAGAAGAAGAAGAAGCGAAGAAGAAGAAGAAGAAGAAGAAAGAAGAAGAAGAAGAAGAAGAAGAAGATCTCTCTCTCTCTCTCCCCCCCCAACTAAGTCCCTTACCTTGTTGAAGGCGGCCGTTGGCGGGCGATGGCGGGGTCACGCATGATGGCGGGCGTTGGCAGAAGCGCATTGAAGTTGCGCGTCGAAGGCCGGCGGACACACAGTGCTGCAAGGCAGGGAAGGGGGGAGGTCGGGGGCACATCTTCAGCACAGGGGAGGGAACGAGGGCCGGTAGTTCCTGGCATCCTGCCCTCATTGATTTGAAATCGGTGCAATCTGGGCCGTCGATCTTCGAGATCGACGATCCAGATGGCCTGAGATGGGGCCCGATTTCAAATCGGTGAAATTGGGCCTACCGGCCTCCTTTTTTTCTTAGTTTCGTGGTCCACATGGTCTATGAAGGGGGCAAAAAGGGCCCCAGCGCCGAAAAAAAAAAAAAAAAACCTAACCTACAGTGATGCGCTGGGGGTGCCCGGTGGCCAACCGGGCGCGACAACCAGCCAGGCGGCCCGGCACCGCCCCCCCCCGGGTGACGGTCAGGCCGCCGGGCGGCCCGGGGACCAGCCTAGATTTATTTATTATTTTATATTTTTTCATGCCCGGGTATCCCGGGCGTCAGTCCCCCCCGGGCGCCATGCCCAGGTGACCCCGTCATGGAAATCTTCCTACCCAACAACTGCATTTCACGCAGAGAATTCTGTGAGGAACACAAAAGACAGAGAAATGAAATTGAGGGCGATAAGATAAGCCTTTCCTTCGAGACAGGAGTTGTCACATCTGTTGATCTGCCGACTACTAGGATGGAAGATTTACTACATTAACAGTTTCTGTACTGGTGAGGAAGTCCATGGTCAGCTGTGTGCTTTGCTTTGTCTACGATTCTTTTGGCGCCGGTTTGTGCTCTTTGACTTTTGGAACTGACGTGGACAGGTATTTGCAGGGATTTTTAATGCTTTCGGATTCAGCAAAGCATCGTCATAACATCCGGACAGCAAATATCAGCATTTCTGCCCAGAACCCTTGCTTGGGCAACAGGTAAATAGCCAATCTCCTGTCCTTCTGTGTTTTGGCTTGCTTATTACTGGACGTAATCTGTCTGCCAATTGTTTGCTCAATTGTTTGGTCCCTCAGTCGGTAGTGTGTTTCTGCTTGCTTATTACTGGACTCAGTCTGTCGGCCAATCGTTTAGCCAATTGCTTCATCACTCGGTCGGTGTATCTGCTGTATTCTACCCCCTACCTGCTTCTCTCACCCCCGTTTGTAAGTTAATGCGAGGACAGCGTAAACCTGTCTTCACCCCCTATTGTCTTTCTGTGGTGTTTGGGGAGATTGGTTAACCCCTCCTGTTTCTCTCTGCTGTCGTTCACTCAATAGTATATTTTGGGGATATCATGGACATAGATTTGTCTTTTCATGCATGTTTTGTGATGTTGCTTTCCCTTGGAACTTGGTTTTGTTTGATGTCAGTCATTTGCGTGAATCTCCAACTGCCATTTCTGGCTTGGTTCTGTGTTGATGAGAGCATTTGCCTTGTATGCGTGTTTGGAGCATCTTCAGTCTGGTGATTTGGCATCAACAGCTGTCTTCTACATCTGCCTCCCTGTACTCTAGGCGTACTCTGAGACTTTTTGGAGGGAATCTGGCTGTGATTGCGGTCATGTGCATCCGGGATGCCCTCATCCATGTTGTGCTTGTTATGCTAGCCCTCTGCCTTGCTGTTCTCTTGCTCAGCTACCCTGCTCGCAGCTGTGTGAGAATTATCATGGCTGCTGTATGTTAAATTAGTTCATACTATGATGACGACGGTGGTGGTGATGATAATGATGATGATGATGACAGTAAGAGGGAGAGGGAAAAGGGGAGAAGAAGCATGGCATGACAAAGCTCTCACTTCCGGGTCGAGGGACAAGGGGAGGAGAAGCAGGGCATGTCGCCACTCTCACTTGCTGTTCAAACACACCTGGAAATATAAATCCGCTTACCCAGTTGCTCACAGCTTTACTCATGCGGTCTACAAGTCTGCGGAGTCTCTCGCAAATATATATATATATATATGCGCGTACTCGGGCTTGGTTGGTGGTGATTTGTTGTCCTCTTCTCTCTCTCTGCCTACGGTTTACCGGGCAGTTCTGTTTGTGACGACATATAGCCCCTTGTTTGTTGTCCTCTTCTCTCTCTCTGCCTACGGTTTTACCGGGCAGCTCTGTTTGTGACGATATATATACATGTATATATATGTATATAGGCCTATGAGAGCATGAATGGTTTAGGAATGGGAATACCCACGTCTTGATGACGAATAAGGCCATCTGCTGTATATAGTTTTTTTTGCAGACAAGAGTTTTGTCCTGGGTGGTCTTGTCCCGTCGTTTGGCCTGTGAAGGAGGGGCGGTGCTTGCATGTGGGACTTGTCATCTAGGATCCGTTTTTGGTGCTGTGGCTTGTTGCCCCCTGTTTTGTTGTATTTGGCTGTTCCCTTCCTCTTTTCTTTGCCTCTTTGCCCTTTGGCTGTGTGCAAGTGGGTCGATATGACACACGGGGTTGGGGGCAGCCGCCGCTCAACCTACATCCACGTGGGCGGCCTTGTACGCAAGAGGTTCTGAACGGGGGGAGTTGTAAGTAAGATGATAAAAAATGAATTGATATCTTTTTTGTTTCCTTTTGTTTTTTTCGCTTTTGCGCTCTGATAACTTTGTGACAATATATATATGTATATACGAAACAGTTTGTCGCAGCCCCTTGTTTGTTGTCCTCTTCTCTCTCTCTGCCTACGGTTTACCGGGCAGTTCTGTTTGTGACGATATATATATATGTATACAGGGTTGCCGGCGTTCAGGACGGGCCGAACGCCCGAACGTTCGGCACCCCCTCTCGACACGTTTGGCCGTTCGGCCGAACGCGGATCCAAAGGGAAAAAAAAAAAAAAGGAATTCCAAAAAATCTCAAAAACATATATGTTATGCAGAAGAATAAACTAAACAACATTTGCCTCAACGTTATATCCAAATTCTTTACCAAATTTGAAATAAAAATCAATACTAAAAATAAATTGTAATAATGAAAATTAGAAAAAATAAAACGAGAATGAAATTATCGAGTGGGCGAGCACGTTTTTGACACCGCCATCTTTGGCGATTTTTCATTTTTTTTTGGCTGTGACAAATGCCATGAAAATTTATATATGTGTATCTTACATAATAGAGAATCTACGAATAAAGTTTGAAAAACTAATAAATTGTTTTATGCCCCGAAATAAAGGAAAAACAAAAAGTGAAAAGAGAGAACAAACAAATTTGTGAGTGGGCAAGCAAGTTTTGACACCACCACCTTTGAGGATTTTTCATTTTTTTTTTGGCTGAACAGAATGACTTCAAAATTAAGCGGGGGATTCCTTACATCACAAAGAACTCACAAAAAAAAATTCAGAAAAAAAATAAAATATTTGGGTGCCAAAATAATTTTTTGCGGGGTCCGAAGTTCGGGCCCCGTACGGGGACCCGAACACCCGAACGTTCGGGGGTCAGCTTAGGGGCCTCCGTACGTTCGGCCTGGCAACCCTGTACATATTGTCAAACAGAGCTACCTGGTAAACCTCAGGCAGAGAGGGAGAAGAGGACAACAAATGAGGGGCTGTGACAAACTGTTTCGTCGGAGTTTCACCGATTCATCAGGAGGCTTATATATGTCACAGCCCCTCGTTTGTTGTCCTCTTCTCCCTCTCTGCCTATGGTTTGCCGGGCAGCTCTGGTTGACTATCTATCTATCTATCTATATATATATTCTGTAGAGTTTTCCATCTGGTGTGGGTGGGTGATAGTCTGCTTTGATTTTCGTCACAGGTACCTTGAGGGCAGTGGTTGGTGCCCACCTTAGGGTATCAGTTGTCGGGCAGTCGTTGATGCTTAACCACAGTCGGGGTTAAGGTGGATTATCACTTACAGTGTAATCAGTTAGGGGATTCTGCAGACTGTTGAGGGTTCAGCCTTCCGATGAGTCGGTGAAACTCCGACGAAACAGTTTGTCACAGCCCCTCGTTCGTTGTCCTCTTCTCCCTCTCTGCCTATGGTTTACCGGGCAGCTATATATATATATATATATACAGAGAGAGAGAGAGAGAGAGAGAGAGAGAGAGAGAGAGAGAGAGAGAGAGAGAGTATGGTTTGCATGTGTGTGTGAGAACTGCCAGAGGAAGACTCGTAAGCAGCAACTACAGGGAAGGATGAGAAGAGGAGGGAGAAAGGATGAAAAGGGAAAAAGGGGAGTGCAATGGACAAGTTGAGAGCAAGGTGGAGGAGCAGCAGGGGAAACAGGAGCAAGAGAAGAAGAAGAGGACAAGGCGAAGGAGAGAAACAGGAGTAAGAGAAGCCCGTGCATTTGTGTTTGGTGGTAGAGTGGAAGGTTGATGAAAAGTTTCTTCAGAAAGTAAGCAAGCATATCTAACAGACAGGCTACCGTATTCCCCCAAAGACAACACACTGTCCTCGTGACTGTATTCGACCAGAAAGATAGCCTGTATGGATTCACAATCAGAGTGCGGAGGAGCGGGAATTCATGGGCTACATATCAAGACAGTTTGCATGCATCTTGACACACCATGTACGTACAACGACATGGGACACACAAACCTTTGGGTAAGAGGTGGGTTGTAGCACAACACGAAGTCCTTTGTATATATGTTTGGCACGAGGTGCTCCGGGTAGGGTATGGAGGACGTGATAGTGGAGGGGAGAGGCAGAGAGATCGAGTGGCAGGGTTGTCGACCCCTGCCTGGGGGTGGGTTGCAACCCGGGGGGTGTTCTCGGTATCTTTAATCCCTTTGCAATCTCTAGATGCAGGTACACGACTTTTGCCTCCAAATAACCCCTTTTGGGGAGCTTTTGGGTAGCCCACGGGGTGTGTAATGCAACCCCCTTTACGAATCTCTGATGAATCTCTGATCCGGGCTGGCATTTGGCAGTGTTCAGATCATCTTGATTTCAGGGTAATTTGGCCATGGATTATATCGGCTGGATTTGGCTGACGGCATAGGTTCAGAGTCTTCAGACCATGGATGTTTTCTGACAATTTCGACTGGGTGTTACTGCATTTACAAATGGAATCAAATGGATGCTTTTCTCTCTAATTTTGCTTGTGTCGATGTGTGTGGAGCAGTTATCAGAGGATGTTGATCGACCATTTTATTGGCTATGACACTATATTGATTAATAGCTACATCCATGCGAGAGGACGAGGTGAGCGAAATGTCCGCTTTGAATTTAGAAGTGGAGGGAAGGGTGAAAAGATGGGATGCAATGTCAGGAAGAAAAGGGGCTTGAGTCACTTGACCTCTTGTTTTTGTCACATGATGTGCCCGAAAAGGAGCCTGGTCTAAAGATTGGAAAAATATTTTGAACTTTGAAGCAAATTGTTTTGTAAGGCGGGGCAGTGTGTGGATACGTGAACTCTCTCTCTCTTCCCCTCGGACACCCTTTTGCTGTATATTACAGTGGACACATGGACTCTCTCTTTCGCCCTCTCTCTTTCTCTCTCTCTCTCTCTCTCTCTCTCTCTCTCTCTCTCTCTCTCTCTCTCTCTCTCTCTCTCTACCTACCTACCTACCTACCTACCTACCTGCGTAGCTACGTACCTACCTACCTTCTTTCTCTGTCTTTCCTCTGCAGCTGTGCGACACGTCTGCTCTCCTGGCCTTTTTTTGTTTGTTTGTTTGCTCAAACGCAGAGCATCAGAGCAGAGGTGTCTAGGGTTAAGCATCTGGAGTGGAAGCAACAAGAACAATCAAGTGTTGGAAAAAGGTTGTGGAAAAGTATCGAGCGTCCTTAAGAGATTGCCTCTGCAGCTGTGCGACATGTCCGCTCTCTTGGCCTTTTTTTGTTTGTTTGTTTGCTCAAACGCAGAGCATCAGAGCAGAGGTGTCTAGGGTTAAGCATCTGGAGTGGAAGCAACGAGAACAATCAAGTGTTGGAAAAAGGTTGTGGAAAAGTATCGAGCGTCCTTAAGCGATTTGCATGAGGAGGTTTACTAGATGGATGTGTGCCTTGTGTAACAGTGTCATTGGAGGTTTGTTCGGGATAAACTTATATGTTATGTTTCTTGATTGTCTTTCTTGAAAACTTTTCTTGAAATTTTGGTTAAAAAATTCAGAAAGAAATGAAGAATCCTGGAAAAAGGTACGTTGTGCAGGGACGTGCAATATTAGACGTATCTGGGTTAGTGGAGATTGCGCAGCGAAAAAACATGGAAAGCACACCCCTTGGTGGGTATCACCTCTGAACCTACATCCAGACCAGGCGCGGTGTTTTATGGCATCGGGTGGTGCTGAACCATGGGGCCACGTCAGATGCCAATGTGGGCTTATTATCACACATGTATCGATGTACATCTCATGTCTTTTGTGATAGATCTGTAAACTCGTGTCTTTATTCTGCAAAAACTGCCAAAAAGAAAAAAAAAGAAAAAAAAAGAAAAGAATACTCTTCAGATAAAGGGGATGTTGAATTTGTGTCCTTTTTGTTGTTTCAATAGGATGTTGAATCTGAAATATATATGGAGGGTTCAGGCTCCTGACGAGTTGATTAAACTCGGACGAAACAGTCTGGCACAGCCCCTCGTTTGTTGTCCTCTTCTCCCTCTCTGCGTATGGTTTACGGCGCACAGCTCTGTTTGACGATATATGCTTTTTGTGTTTTCCGTGTCGTCTTCCATCAGGGTATCTATATAACCTTCAGACGAAGGAACTCTACAATCTTAATTATGCGCATGAAGGCAGTGGTGGTGCGGCTGATGAGTTTCAAGGTTTGACGCCAATGTATATAACCATTGTGTATTGTCGTGTTGTGAGATCTGTTATAGCTGACCCTTTGTTTTTGTTTCTTGAAGGGGAAGAGGGTTAGATTCTAAAACGGGTCCCATAAGGGGCGGCTTGCACTTGTATATCATCCCCATCCTTACCTTCCTCCCAGTATATCGCTGGCAGGTTTCTGTGACTGCAGCTGATTGTTGCAATGTCTAAGCCTGTGTAGCACGGCGAACATGTTCGGGGGTTTCACGAACACACGGAAATGTTCTCGCGTTCGGGAATTTGTTCGCCCCGAATTCGTTCACCCATATGTGGGAGAACCTTTTTTTTTTTGGATGATTTTTTTTTTTATTTGTTTCTCGGTCTTTTATTTTTAACTCGTGTTTGGCTAAGAATTTGGAAAAGCCTCCAAGGCAAAAGCCGTTTGTATTATTATTTTACATAACATATATTATGATTTTTTTTTTCAGATTTTTCTGAGAACTTTTTGTTCTTTTATGTTTGTGTTCGGAGGGTTTTGGCGCCCGTTCGTGTTCGGTCAGCGAACGCGAACGCGATACTACGCAGGTCTAAGCAACACAAAACGAGGGTTTTGCTCGTGGTAGGGGGATGCAACCCAACAAGTCACGACACGAGCTGACAATAGCCATGCTAACATTGCTAAGCAACACAAAACGAGGGTTGTGCTCGTCGCAGGACGTAACCCAACATCTCACGCACAAGCTGAGACAGCCATGCAGCACGTGTGTGAAGTAAAAGTACGTCCCTCTCTTACGATCCTGGAGTTTCTTCATATGTCAAGGGCTGGCAATGTTTTGTGCACTGTATGAAATTGACTTGCACTTGTGCAGGCCCTTGTCCCAGTTCTTTCTGGGTGTCAGTCTTGCGGCTGTACTTCCCTGGGGGAGTGTGTAACACGTTAACTAGGTCCCTCGTTGAACCACTTGGTGTAGACCAAGGGCCATTACTCGTTGCGCATTGGAGAGTCAGTTCAGGTGTCCTTTGAGATTTATGGTATGTGTTTGTCGGAATGTGCGGTCTCTTCAATTGGTCCATGCACTGTTAGAGGTGGTATCAATTAGTCAACACTTTGTGAATCTGTCGTATTCTTGATTCCCTCCTGCAACTGGATTTTGGAGTCTTCCACGCAAAGTTAATCGTGGAGTTATCTGCTCTTCGTTTGGTTGCAAGTCAATTGTGAACGTGGGTTCGCTCCCATAGCTTCTTTTCTTTGTTTTTTTTCCTTCTGAAACCGATGTACCAGTCAGGGATCTTCTCAAATTCGATCTGGTTTCCTATGTGTGGTTTTGGCAGTGCAGCGAGGATTACATAGCTGCCTGAACAGACTCGGGGTGTGCATCTCCCAGATTTGGATGGCTTATTTGGAGGGCTTTTGAGGGGGTGCTTGGGGATGTCCATTGCATGGCCAGAATGAAAACTCTCATCAAGTTTGGGTTTTGCTGTTGAAAGGCGTTGCTTTTCAGGAATGTTTGGGGGTGTCTCACTTCGTGCGAAGGGGTTCTAAGTTGATGAAGATGAAGATCAACACGATGATGATGATGATGATGATGACTGAAAGATTACTGAAGATTCGCTGCCCTTCATCAGGGTACCTGGAAATGGATTCAAAGCAGGGTTGCATACCTGCCGACCCCGACCATCGATCGTTTTGCAGCCGACCAGTCAGAAAACAGCCATCCACTGATGTCTTTTCAAATCTGAGTTGGGGGCTTACTGCTCTTGCTGAGTACAGCCCAAATCCGCTGAGAAACTTTTGAGGATTGGGGGGGGGTATGGGTGGTATAGGGGGTGGGG